CCCCAAAACCCCAAAACCCCAAAACCCCAAAACCCCAAAACCCCATTTCAATAATATTTATTGAAGTCTAAATTAAATGCTCAGCTCGTGAAGTAAGAGATGCTTTGTGCATTCTTACTCTTCTAAAGTTGTTTTTGGTCTTTGATCTTGCTATTCCAGGACCTTTGTAAGTTTTAATCTGCTTGGTTATCCCTCCTAGCTTTGAGGTGCTCTTTGAGGCTTGAGATTCATTGTGTAATTTATTAACTGTTTTGGACTTTCTAATTCTTAATGGACGGGTCATTCTGAAGAGATCAATATTGGAAACTTCTATATCACTACTGTCTAATTGGGAGTTTGCTAGTTCATCTTTCTCTTCTTTCGAAGTTAGCTTATATTGCTCAATATTTGGTAAGATTTCAGTAGATCTATCAATATTTCTCCCATAGTCTTTTTGAGTATTACTTGCATTAAAGACCTTGACAGGAATATTGGCTCTGAATTTCTTAAGATAAGTTTGTGAGAAATCAAGCCCTTTTGTTTTATTACTTAGCCCTATTTTATCTGTACTATCTTGGGCTATATTGAAATTGGTATCACTTTCATTTCTAGATATGAAAGTTAAACCAGTTGATATGTTAACGTTTACTTGGAAACACGATCTCTGTTAGATCTTTCATTATTTTCTGATTGCTCTATTCTTGGAAGGGTTCTGAATGGCACTTTTAGTTGAAGCATCTCCAATTGATTTTATGTTTCTAGTCATTAAGCCATTGCTAATTGAGGGCATTTTTTGAATTTTTATTTTACTTCCTGTCCTTTTTAAAGAGGTTTCTTTTGAAGTTATCTCTGATTGGGACTATTCAAAGTTACAATTTAATATCAAACCAGGGTCATGATGAATAGAATTAAAGCTGGTATGTTTCCTTATAATAGAGAAGCTAAATTCTAACGGCCATTCTTTATCTTAAGTGCGCAAACTATCATCGAATTGCTTACTCTCGTTCCAATCTTGAGCTTTTCGAACTTAGTAGGATTCAGGTCTCTATATATTAGACCAAAGTTCACTTTGGGTGTCCAATTTTATTCTCATTAAGCTTGTGTGATATCTTAGCTAGATTGGTCTGATTAATACTATGGGACTAAAAGGATAACTCAGATTTATATCTACATAGTTTCTATTTTTCCTATATCTTTAGGAGGGAAATTACCTTTTTCTGTACTTCTTGAGGAGCTGGGCGAGAGCTGTAGTTTCAAAATCTTTTGTTCATTTTTGGGCATTTATTTGGTCATAGAATTCTTGGATCTTTGCTCTATCTTCTTTGGTGATTGTCAGCATGGGGTTTGGCTATTTTTGGTTATTAGTGAGATACTTTTCTCTGGACTAATGGACTCAGTGCAGGTGAGTCTATGAAACTTGGATTTGACTCTCTTTGGTTTTCAATTTTTCTAAAGCATCAGATTAATAGGGATCCCTTGGTTATCGAATTTGTTAAAGTTAAGGTTACTTTATCAATTCAAGTGGTTCTATATTTACATGAGGGAGTAAGTTACCTTTATTGGGTTTTCTCTTTTTTTTGAACTTATTAAACTTTCCAACCGTGAAGTTGTGCTTGTCTTTGTATCCTTCATTATGATTTTCTCTGTAAAATTCAATGATATTTAGAAAATCTCCATTGCTGTTATTAGAGTCAATGATAAGATTTGCGATGTCTATCCAGCCATGAGTATCTGTATCGAAATATAGACTATTATTTTATTGATTTTTGAGTTGTCTGTTTGTAAGGTCTATAGAAATATCTGTATTTATTCCGTAGGTCTTCACTAAGAGCAATGGTAGGCTCAGATTCCTTTATGTCTAGTCTAGCCCCTTCTCTGTATGTTTTAGGGCTATTTTGAGCTATTGGATGCTTTCCTTGTACTCTGTTATTGCTTCTTATCCTTTGAGTTTTTGATAAATTTACTTCCATTTCTATATTTATTATATTGTCTGGGGTTTTGGGGTTTTGGGGTTTTGGGGTTTTGGGG